AGTCTCGGATCCGAGGAGTGAAAATTGGATCCGAGCTCGGATATTAGGATCCGAGGGCTTCCATGATGGATCCGAGGTCGGATCGTCCTGACCTCGGATACACTCCGCCAGAAGTACAGACTAGGGGTCGGATCCCTCTTGTACACACAGATCCGTGCTCGGATCTGTGATGAACAATTTTCCAGTTTTTCACTTCTTCCCTTTTTCTACATTTTTGCTCCCAATTTCTTGTGTACTTTGTCTTCTGAATGACCCTGACATTTCTTTCAACTTGTGCATGAATTTCATACATCAATTACCTTCACAATTTCACAAAATTAACGCATTAATCCACTCATTTATCAATTTCTGAACTCTTAAACAATATTTAAGCAATTATCACCAAAAGAGTTCAAATATGGCTTTAATCTTCTCAAAACATATCAAAAATTCATGCCAAATTCGTACAAAATGTACGTTAAATATTCACTTATCAAATTCCCCCACACTTGAATCATTGCTTGTCCTCAAGCAATTTTACACAAAACTTATTTCAAATATTCAATAGAGATAGAGAAAACAATATGCGTACTATTGTCAAATTTAATTCCTCAAAAACCTAGAAATCAATCATTATGCCATTTCTCAGATTACACTAAATACTCATAATATTCAATTAAATAAAAATAACTATGCCTTAATTTCAACAAATTCAAATCAATTCTCTCATTCTATCCTAATTTCACAAATAAGTAAATCACATTAGTCAATTTTATGGCCTTCCTCATTCCAAAACTTATCAATTTAGAGGGATTTATTCACATTTCATCTTATTTAAATAGTGAAAACGTCTTTTTACGCGAAAATCAACACTTTTAGGTGAAAATTCCCGGTTACTCAACATTTCACTTATTTAAATTGCTAAGCATACTCTTAATTCCAATACCTTTTTACGCGAATGTCGACATTTGTAAATGCCAACCCCCGGTTACTCAGTATGTGAATCATTGGAGTAGAATAATAATATTATTCTTTTTTTTTGAATAATTTCTTTTTCCCTCTAAGTATAATTAAAGGAAGAATTTGGCCTTGTCTTTGACTATATCAATCACTTACTTATAAAATTAAGTAACAATGATAAATATCATTAATTTTGCAAAATTCTAAGCATAATTTTTCTTATTTAACCAAATATACTTTCTAAAATGTAAATATCCTAATTGCATAATAATTCGTTCCAAGCCAATTAAGAACTAAACTTTTCCAAAATACACATAGCATTTTATCCAATGGAAGAATTAGACACTTAAAATTTTAACATTTTGGCCATTTAATTGGAAGAATTGCAATGAAATATTGGAAAATGTTTTAGAAAAATTTCGACAGAGTTTCCCCATAAAAATGGATGAAACTCCCTGCCAAATATCATTAATTTTCACAAAAATTATCCTCATGACTATCTCCACATATAATTCCAACATTTTTAAGCCATAAACAACTAAAATCATGCATTTCAAAACACAATCACCCATAAGATATGCAATGCCTCCCCCACACTTAAAATCTACAATGTCCTCATTGTAGAGGAAGGTAAAAGAACTGAAACTTCCCTCATATAGGTGGTGATGCAATTTGAAGCCCTTACTCATCACGATCATCCAATTTCTGTTCAAAATGAGACAACAAAGGTACCAAACACCATAAGTAGCACAAGATGATTCAAATTAAAGAAAAATAAAAACTACAACATTTATCTTAACAAAAGAAGAGAAAAATAAAGAAATAAAAGGTCGAATCCGCTAAAAAAAACATCATGGCTGCTGGGAACGAGGATCTACTGCCTCCTCGACTCCATGAGGACCCTGTGAGGTACCAATATGGCCCTCCTCCTGATGAGGTGTCGGAGTAGGGGACCGTCGGATATGGAAATGATCCTCGATCGCACGAAGACGGCGATCATGTCGGTCGAGGCGCTCAATCATCATCCGCTCCGTCTGGTCAATGCGCTCGACGACTCGCGTCTCCATACAGCAAATAGCATTGAGAAGCTCTTGCCACTTGGAGCGCGTTTGAGGAGGTGGTCGTGGAACCGGAGGAGGAAGAGTCTGCTGTGCCTCCGTCTCTTGAGTTTCCGCTTGAGGTTCAGTGTGAGGCGGAGGTTGAGTGGAAGTCGATGCTTCTCCTGTGTCCCGGACCAAAGCAGCTCCAAATTCCGTAGAAATACCCAAGGATTTGAGTATTGAAACATTTACCTCCTCGGCCGACCTAGTTATCACCGATCTCTCGGTTCCAAGAGGAACCTTGAGCTTCTCAAAAATGAGGGATAGCAGTCGAGGGAGTCCAAAACAAGTCTCGCCGGCGCTCATGCGAGCTGTGGTCCGCATATAACTGATGATAATGCTGGGTAGAGGAATACCAGTCAACTGTCTACCCACTCCATGTATCATCTTATCCAGAAAATAGAGATCGCTATTTCGGATCTCTCGTTTACCACTCTTTTTCGGCACCACATTAAAGGCAAAAAGATAGAAGATCAGGTGGTAACGATGCTCAAAGGAGTCGGCATATACCGTGAGTTTTTTCGAACTTCCTCGCTCACGGTACTGACCCTTTAGACGTCCCACGGCTTCTCCCACTTGCCAAGGGTCTCGAGCTTTGAATTCTTTGGTCAGTTTGACATCTTCGCCTTCGTCTTTGAGTTGGACGAAGTGTCTCAATGTATCTCGATTGAGAGTCACTCTTTTACCTCGAACCCACGAGACGATGAGGTTGCCACTGTGGCTCTGCTTGTTCTCCACATTGGCATAGAACTCCCTGACCAGGTTGGGGTAGTAGTGCTTGGGCAACTGAAGGATGTTCTCCCATCCAAGCCTCTTGAATGCTGTCGAAATGTGGTAGTGCGCATCCACCTCTGGTGCCAAGTGTTTCTCAATTATGATCTCCTTGTCCAGTCCGGCTTCATACCACTCTTGATTTTCGAGCGATGTGAATCGTGTGGTATCGTAGTCTGGCGGTGGCTCGTCACGGCTAGTGGATGCGGTCTTCCGGCGAGACCGAGTTGGCGACTCAGGTGAAGGAGATTCCTCCTCAGGCGACTCCTCATGCAAAGAAGGTGTATGTTCTTCACTTGACGATGGTGTAGGAGTACGAATACGAGCCCTCCTTGTACGAGCCATAGTACCTATAAACAAGATGAGTATTTATTAGAAACGATAGAAACTCACTCATACATGTTAAATAGGAATTTAAGAAAATTTCGGCAGAGTTTCCCCTGAAAAAGGGCTAAACTCCCTGCCAAAATGTACCCAAATTTAAACAAATAAACTTCCTAACACTTCTCAAATCCAATTCCCACATTTAGAAAGGATATTAGCAGTAAAGAAATCATTTCATGCATATTAAGTGCAAACAATTTTAAATTATATTCATTTGCAAGAATGAACACTCAAACACTTGAGAATATTTTCAATCCAATTCATAACACTCGTTAACACTTAAGTTAACTACACATGAGTCCCAATTCATCCAAATACAATTATTTCAAGTAACAGTGGTTCAATGTGCTTAACTTGATCGGGAACACACACTTTTACCTAATGGGCTATTGCTCTAGTGATAGCATATCATTTTCAATTGGTATAACAGTGATTTATACATCTCTGAACAAGTTCAGATATTCAATGAAAGCTAAATTCACAAGTTTAAATCACTAAAATGTTCAAGCCCAAAAATTGAGAAGGAAATCTCAAAACTATCACTAAATTCACAATTCTCTCACAAATAAACATGAAAATAATTATAACAACTGATTTGAGCACAATGTAGCACAATTATATCAAGAATTTTCAACAATTAAGCTATTTAGCAAAATATATTGAAAAACTAAAAATATGCAAAAATGAGAGATATACAATGTCACATAAATTCGAAATTTGTTACCTCAAATAGATGGAGTGATGATGGAGGATGATAATGATGCAAAAATGGAGAACAACCAAGCCCAAATTCGACCTCAAAATGCAAGATTTCAATTCGGCCCTATTTTGCGTCTTGAAGATCAAAACCCCTCAATTTGATGTTTTTGATTCCAAATTGTTAAGGGTTAATGCTCAGAAGAAGTTAGTGAAGGTTTTTGTTGTGAAAAATTGGAAATGTTATGGATGAAATGGAAGATTGGAGGAAAGGGAATAGGGTTTCGAAGAGAGAGAAAAGAGAAATCTGGAAATTGAGGAACCGAGGCCTCGTTTCCCTTCTTATCGCTAAAGGATCCGAGGTCGGATCAATTCTGGAAGGCCTCGGATCCGACAGGGCTCGGATCAGTCCCAACAGAAACACAGACGAGCCCTCGGATTTATCTGGGTTGGAATGGATCCGAGGTCGGATCAGTTGATCCGTGGTCGGATCTGTCTGGGCTTTTCAGGATCCGAGCTCGGATCTGTATTTCTCTGCACTAATTGCAGAAACTGCAATTTTTTCAAACTTTTTCTCCCTTTTTCGGCCAATTCCAAATTACACATTGGACATACCTTTTCTCAATTCCAACCTCCCACGCACATGTAATATACCATAAACATAATATCCAACCTCTCAAAACACAACAAACACATCTACATTGAAAATCGAGGGGTGGGGTTCTTTGATCATTTTTGCATTTTTACACTAAAATGGCATTTTTGAGCATTAAATGTACATCAAATGAGTCCATAAGCCTTTATAACCATGATATCACCAAAACTCATTTGAAATGCACAATGTATGTATATGCATGGGAATTTTAAGCACTTAAAACATAATTTGGTAAGAAAAACTCCCTTTTACACATATTCTTCAAGTGCACCTCCGAGATGGATGATAAAACTCCCGTACCTCCTACAAACAAGTGAAATACATCTAATTAGTCAATTAAATCACACCAAAATGTAAGAAACACCTAAAAACACACAAATACACTATTATCATTGGGTTACCTCCCAACAAGCGCTTTTGTTTATAGTCGTTGGCTCGACAATCCTATAATTTCTTTAATTCTCCTTTGCATTTCCTAAGGAGTAAATTACCCCTTTAGGAACTTTTTCTCCTGGCAAATAGGGCTTCAATCTTTGTCCATTTACTTTAAATGGAGAACCATTTTCTCCTTTTATTTCCACTGCTCCATGCGGAAATACTTGAGTTACTTCAAATGGTCCCGACCATCTTGACTTCAATTTTCCTGGAAATAACCTCAAGCGTGAGTTGAACAAAAGTACATTTTGCCCTACTTGAAATTTTTTAGGAATAATATGCTTGTCATGCCAATATTTGATCTTTTCTTTATAAATTTTGGCATTTTCATAAGCATGTAGTCGGTGTTCCTCCAATTCACTTAGCTCAAGTAATCGCTTTTCTCCTGCAAAATTAAAATCCATGTTAATAGATTTAATTGCCCAATAAGCTTTGTGCTCAATCTCTACATGTAGGTGACAAGTTTTCCCATAGACTAAACGATACGGCGACATCCCTAGGGGTGTCTTAAATGCCGTTCGATAAGCCCATAGTGTATCATCTAGCTTTGTAGACCAATCCTTGCGTGATTTATTCACAGTTTTCTCCAAAATGAGCTTTATCTCTCTATTAGCCAGCTCTGCTTGTCCATTGGCTTGAGGATGATATGGAAGTGATGTCTTGTGCCTACAACCATATTTAAACAATAAGGAATCCAATTGTTTGTTACAAAAATGTTTCCCTTCATCACTTACTATGGCCTTGGGTATACCAAATCTACTGAAAATATTCTTTTTAAGCAATCTAAGTACAATCTTAGAGTCATTAGTAGATGAAGCGATTGCTTCTACCCATTTAGAAACATAATCCACTGCTACTAAGATGTACTTATTATTAAAAGAACTAGGAAATGGTCCCATAAAATCAATACCCCATACATCAAATAACTCAACTTCCAAGAATGTAGTCAGGGGCATTTCATTTTTTCGAGATATATTTCCAGTTCTTTGGCATGCATCACAATTTTTAACATATTCCCTAGCATCTCGGTACATAGTTGGCCAATAAAATCCTGATTGCCATACCTTTGCCACAGTCTTTGAAGTACTGAAATGACCACCTGTTTCAAGGTTATGACAATGATATAAAACATTATGTACCTCATCTTCAGGAATACATCTACGTGTCATACCATCGGCACAATGTCTGTATAGCAATGGTTCCTCCCAAAAGTAACTTTTGACGTCATGTAAGAATTTCTTCTTTTGATGATAATTGAACTCCTTTTGAATCTCTCCACTGACCAAGTAGTTAGCAAAATCTGCATACCATGGAGAATTTCTAAGTGCTAGGACAAACTCATCCGGAAAATTCTCTTGAATTGGAACCTGATCTTTGATTGGGATATATTCCAAAAGTGATAAATGATCTGCAACTAGATTCTCCGATCCCTTTTTGTCTTTTATCTCCACATCAAATTCCTGCAATAAAAGAATCCACCGAATTAGTCTAGGTTTTGCATCCTTCTTATGCAGCAAATATTTAAGAGCTGAATGGTCCGTATATATAATAACTTTAGATCCTACTAAATAGGATCTAAATTTGTCCAAAGCAAATATCACTGCCAATAGCTCTTTTTCTGTTGTTGCATAATTGAGTTGTGCCTCATTTAGCAACTTGCTAGCATAGTAAATGACGTGCAATCGTCCTTCCTTCTTTTGTCCCAAAACTGCTCCAACCGCATAATCACTTGCATCACACATCAATTCAAATGGTAGTGACCAATCGGGTGAAGTTATAATTGGGGCCGAAATCAATTCCTTTTTCAACCTTTCAAATGCAACCAAACAATTGTCATTAAATTGAAAAGGAGTATCTTTGCATAATAAATCACATAATGGCTTTACTATTTTAGAAAAATCTTTAATAAAACGTCTATAAAAGCCAGCATGTCCTAAAAAACTCCTTATCCCCTTGACATTGCTTGGGGGTGGCAATTTTTCGATAACTTCTATTTTGGCTTTATCCACCTCAATTCCCTTGGAGGAAATCTTGTGCCCTAAGACAATTCCTTTTTTTACCATAAAATGGCATTTCTCCCAATTCAGTACAAGATTTATTTCCTCGCATCTCTGCAAAATCAATTCCAAATTATGAAGACAATGGTCAAAAGATGAACCGTACACAGAAAAATCATCCATAAATATCTCCATAATTTTCTCAATATAATCAGAAAAAATAGCCATCATGCATCGTTGAAAAGTTGCAGGAGCATTGCATAAACCAAATGGCATCCTTCTAAAGGCAAAAGTGCCATAAGGACATGTAAATGTGGTCTTCTCTTGATCCTCTGGAGCTATAGCTATTTGATTATATCCTGAAAAACCATCAAGAAAACAGTAAAATTCATATCCGGCTATTCGCTCCAATAATTGATCAAGAAATGGCAGGAAAAAATGATCTTTTCTTGTTACCGTATTCAACTTACGATAATCAATACACACTCTCCACCCTACCACAAGTCTAGATGGAATTAATTCATCATTTTTACCTATGATTGTAGTTATTCCACCTTTCTTTGGTACCACATGAATTGGACTAATCCAAACACTATCTGAGATAGGAAAGACTATACCTGCATCAAGCCACTTAAGAATTTCATTTCTTACCACCTCTTTCATGTTTGGATTGAGTTTTCTTTGTGTTTCTACCACTGGTTTGTAATTGTCCTCCAATAAAATGCGATGCATGCATATTGAAGGACTTATACCTTTAATGTCAGCAATTGTCCATCCCATTGCCTTCTTATGCTTCCTTAAAACTCTTAGCAACTTTGTACACTGCTCATCATCAAGGTCAGCACTAACAATTACACGTAAAGTACTATTTTCTCCAAGAAATTCATACCTTAGATGAGTTGGAAGTGGCTTAAGCTCTAACCTTGGAGGTTCAATTTCTGAAGGTTGTGAAAACCCTTTTCCTTGGCCAAGATTTTCATACAAATTACCCCTTTTATAAGGTGCTTGAAAATCCAAGTACTTGGCCAATTCTTCAATTTCTTCAAAAACATTTTCTTGCTTACCTAAACTCATTAAACAATACTCAAGAGGATCTAAATCAAGGTTGACTTGACTCATCTCTTGGGTTAGTTTATCAATTGTGCCAATAGAATAAGCATGATCAGTAAAAGAAGGGTATTTTTCCATTTCATTCAAATTAAATTCTACTTCTTCTTCACCTACTTGAAACTTAAGCTTGCCATTTTTTACATCAATAATAGTACCTGCAGTAGCTAAAAATGGTCTACCTAGAATAATTGGCATAGATATATCTTCTTCCATATCTAATACCACAAAATCCACTGGAATGATAAATTTTTGAACTTTTATCAATACATTCTCCAACACTCCCAATGGATATCGAATAGACCGATCCGCTAGTTGCAAAGTAATATTTGTGCGTTTAAGTTCATGCAAACCCAATTGTCTAGCCACTGTTAAAGGTATTAATGATACACTAGCACCAAAATCACACAATGCTTTAGAAAAATCAACATTACCTATGGTGCAAGGTATAGAAAAACTCCCTGGATCCTTCAACTTTGGTGGTAGCTTATTTTGAATAATTGCACTACATTCCTCCGTTAGTGCTATTGTTTCGCAGTCTTCCAACTTTCTTTTTCTAGTCATGATTTCCTTGAGAAATTTCGCATAAGACGGAATCTGCAAAATAGCATCGGCAAAAGGAATGTTAATGTGCAATTGTTTGAAAAGTTTAACAAAATTTTCAAAATCTTTATCAAACTTATTTTGCTTTAATCTTTGTGGAAATGGAACCGCAGGGGGTATTGGAATGGTAGCGGAAGATGATGGTCGATTTTTTCTTGATTCCTCCCGGCTACTTTCCTCCACTATCGCCTCTTGGTTCCTATGCTTTTCTTCTTGTTTTTCATTCTCATCTTTCTTAACTTCCACCACTGGAGGATCTTTTAATTGCTTACCACTACGAAGAGTAATGGCTTTGACATGCTTCTTAGGATTTACCTCCGTTTTGCTAGGTAATTCTCCTTGATTACGATTATTCAAAGAACTAGCAATTTGACCAATTTGGACCTCTACATTCCTGTACATTGTAGTGAGTTGGTCCAATCTTCCTTCTACTCGCTCAAATCTGTCTGAAGTAACTTTTGCGAGCTTTTCCACTGCCATCTCCCAACCAGGTTTAGTTTCAACTTGTTGTTGCCTTGATTGAAATCCCGGTGGATTGGCTGGCCTTGGTTGATTTCCTTGATCCTTCCATCCAAAGTTTGGATGATTTCTCCACCCCGGATTGTAAGTATTCGAGTAGGGGTTATTTTGAGCATTACGATTGTAATTATTAACGAATTGTACCTGCTCAGAATCAACACACTCATTAGTATCATGTTCACCTCCACATATAGAACAACATGCTACATGTGCATTAGATGAACTTGGACCAACTCCACTTTGTCTACTTAGCAACTTCATCACATTATTCATTTGAGTACTCAGCATATTGAGAGTGTCCATTTCTATCATACCTGCGTGACGTCTTGTATTACCTCTCTCATTGGCCCATTGGTAGTTGTTTGCAGCCATTTCTTCTATCAAATTCTGAGCTTCTTGGGGTTATTTACCCATTAAAGCTCCACCTGCAGCTGCATCGATCATAGTTTTAGTAGAAAAAACTAAACCATTATAGAAGGTTTGTATGATTAACCACTCCGGCAGTCCATGATGTGGACATTTCCGAAGCAAATCTCTAAACCTTTCCCATGCCTCATATAATGATTCACTTTCTAATTGGCAAAAACTAGTGATATCCATTCTAAGTTTAGCAGTCTTACCTGGTGGAAAATACTTATTTAAGAATACTCTTGATAACTCATCCCATCCAGTGAAAGTATTAGGAGCATGAGAGTGTAACCAAAGTTTGGCCTTATCTCTCAATGAAAATGGGAACAATCTTAGCCTTATAGCATCATCACTAACTCCATTCATTTTAATTGTATCACAAATTTCCAAGAATGTAGCTAAGTGTGTATTAGGGTCTTCTACTGCATTACCTCCAAATTGAGATTGTTGAACCATTTGGATAAGTGCTGGTTTAATCTCAAAATTGTTAGCATTTACCGTAGGCCTTACTATACTCGTTTGAGATCCTTGTGTTCCCGGTAGAGCAAAATCTCGTAGAACTCGCCTATGTGCTTCGTTTTCTGCCATGTCTTCTTCAAATGGAAGCTCTATTAAGATATCTTCTATTGGCTGCCAAACCTCTTGTTTCTCTTGATGTGATGTACTCCTCCTTTGTCTGTGTAATGTTCTTTCAATTTCAGGATCGAAATGTGCAACTTCTCGATTTGATCGGTGCATACACTACAGACAAAAACAAGAGAAATTTTGCAGTTTAAATTCAACAACTTGAAATAATAAAAAAAAATGAAAATATCTAAAGTAATAGAGATGATTAGGCCCTAATATTGCCGCTCCCCGGCAACGGCGCCAAAAACTTGACGGGATATTTGTATCTATACAAGTTTAATTCCGATTTTACACCCGTTGGACTGCAAGTATACAGGTCGCAATTGTAGTACAAGATGTGTATCGGGTCGATCCCACGAGAAGCAATTTAAACAATTACTAAGCCCTTGTTCTCTCTATTATTTAGACTTACAATTAATTTGAGCAGAGAAAGTCTAATGCTGTAATCTACAAATCTGATATACAAATCTAGTTTAACAAATACTGAGTACAAATAGAGAAATTTTACTTAAGGAAGATTCTAGGGATGTAGATTCCACTTATGGCATAAACTACACAAATGAATGGATTTACTCCTTGCTATTATTCTTGCTTAACCAGAGATTTATTTCCAAGAATACCAAGTCTCATTTTCATGATGAAATGGCTTAGAGCAATATAGATTTCCCTATTTTCATGGTGAAATATTCTACTACTCCGTTTTATTTCATGAAATGCTCAATAATCCACCTAAGTGTATCTCTATTTTCATGAACATACAACTCAAGCTCTACTCATGTATTTCAATTGTTATTACCAATTCTCATTGAATAATAACACTATAAATATGCTATTGGTGATCAATCAACAACACGTAATCACAGCTACACAAGTAGACAAGTTACTACAAGATATAACAAGTGTAAATCACATTCCATTCATATTATTTAACCATAAGCTTCATCTACTCCCTAGATTAAGGGGTTTAGCTACTCATGAATGATTTAATAATCAAACTCACAAGTTTATTAATGCCAAACATCATGAAGTACAAGTACAAGAAAGATAAAAGAAAGCTTAGCCACTTGAAGGTGAAGCTCTCCAATTCCTGCTATGCTCTTGCACAATATGATTACAAGTAAAAACTCCAAGTACTTCTCCAAGAACTCCTATCTAGAGAGAAACTAGATACCAGAAAGAAAACTAGTTACGTATGGTAATCCCTCTTCTCCCCAATCTTTCTGCATAAAAATGTGGTAGAAATTCCATTCCTCTCACTTCATAATTTCTTCCACTCAGATTTTGTAAAAAGAGGTCAAAGATATGATGTCTCCTTTTGTCCACATTCATTTGGTCTTCTCTTTTGTTGCAGAAGCATGTGCCACCGATTTCTGTCCCTCAAAATAGCTGGAAAGTTATGAAAAAGGTAAAGAAAAACGGCTATGGCACTTGCTGAGGAGAGAGACAGATCCGAGCCTCGGATCCGAGGAGTGAAAATTGGATCCGAGCTCGGATATTAGGATCTGAGGGCTTCCATGATGGATCCGAGGTCGGATCGTCCTGACCTCGGATACACTCCGCCAGAAGTACAGACTAGGGGTCGGATCCCTCTTGTACACACAGATCCGTGCTCGGATCTGTGTTGAACAATTTTCCAGTTTTTCACTTCTTCCCTTTTTCTACATTTTTGCTCCCAATTTCTTGTGTACTTTGTCTTCTGAATGACCCTGACATTTCTTTCAACTTGTGCATGAATTTCATACATCAATTACCTTCACAATTTCACAAAATTAACGCATTAATCCACTCATTTATTAATTTCTGAACTCTTAAACAATATTTAAGCAATTATCACCAAAAGAGTTCAAATATGGCTTTAATCTTCTCAAAACATACCAAAAATTCATGCCAAATTCGTACAAAATGTACGTTAAATATTCACTTATCAAGGAACCTCTTTAGGAATTTGATTGGTATTAGGAAACCAATCAATTAAGCAATTTGGCAGGGAGAATTCAGCATATAGCTCTTGCTTAGGAACAAAGCATAGTTATTCTTGTTTTCTTGACCGATTGACAAGAAGACAATTGGAAAGCTTCGAACAGATTTTTGCATGGCTTGTTCTCCATTAATGGAGAACTAATTTCATATTTCTAGTCAAGGGGACAATTGAAGATTTGGTTCAACAATAACTGTGAGATCTAAATTATTTTAATTGCTTCTTTCATTCATTGGTATTTATATGTTTTTTGCTTTTAATGGCTATGACTACTGTGTATGATTGAATAGTTGCGCAATATTTAATTATTCACGTAGTCTATTTGCTAATTGGGGGTAGTTGAATCCGTAATTGTTTGATTACTCCATCCCGGTAGCAACTAGCATGATTGGTTTCATGTTAGGAAAACGTATGATATAACTTAAATGAACCCTCGTAGTGTGTTTGTTGGTTAGAGTTGGGCTTTTCCAATTCTTATTGCAATCGAAAAATGAAATCCTATGATCGTATTTAGGGTTATTTCTTGTTTGGTGAAATAGTTAATGATCATACCTTAACTATCGAAAAAGTAAGGAAAGGCTGGTTGTTTATCGCATGCATGACAACTATAACCAATCTATTAATGAGTAATTGAATTATCTTTGCATCGATGATCAGTTGAATGAACCGTGTCTGAAAAGTTGCACCTTTGATTAGAATCGTATTGGTTATTGATTAATTCATGTTTATTTCTGTTAGTTGTTTCATTAGTTAGTTAATTAGTTATTTTATATTCTCCAAAAACCCCCCATACTTCAGACCCTGGAAGAAACGAATTATCCCCAATCCCTGTGGATTCGACCCTACTTGCCCAATATACAAATTAGAGATTTTTCGTGAATAAATTCTGGTATATCGGATTTAGCAAACTCTTCGGAACCAGGATGAATCTAGTAACCCATTGCACATCTAGAGTCCCTGCTCCAGTACCAGAATTGACACGAAGTTGCTTCCGTTGGCAATTAGGATTATTAATATTATTATTACACAGACTCGATACCTGTCAATACTCACCTAACAAACCTCCACCCGAGGAAATTTTTTTTTAAAAAAATCTACATTAGGGTATACATTAGCAGAAAATGAAAAAAAAAAAAAACTTTAGACTGCAATCTAGTAACATGTGTCCCAGGTGCACAAAGAAATTGAAACATATAGAGCTTTGATTGTCAAAAGTAGCACTAGTACTCCTCGGAGTTTAATTCAAATACAGATGATCAAATATGAGTGACGCCTTGCGCATAGCGGCAATAGAAAACTATGAAAGGATATGCCACGGTGTGTCAGCCAACCGTCTTTAGAGTTGAAATTCTTTCAGGAGCTTCTGTGATTGTATGGTTTTGTAATCTAGCAGCATCAGATTTTGTGAGGCGATGCGTTGATGAAACTTGGGTATTGGTATTCAATCCCAAGATCTTTCATGTAAAATGACTCGGATGCGGCAAAAGCCTTGGATTCTCTGCTCCGGTCAACTTGAAATTGGACTAGTCCCAGCACTTTAGGAAGTTGGTTATTAGCACATTTAAATTTTTATACTAATTGTAGTAAGTAATATTTGGAGGGACCATAAGTTCAGGTTGAAAAGAGGCATGGTGAAAATCTTTCCAAATACAGACCCTACTACTTGTACAAATAAAAGAGAGAACAAAAATATATAACCCATTAACACATACTAAAAGTTTTTACAGCAATTACATGGTGAATTCATTAAATTAGGCATTTGGTTGACTTTGACATGTGTGTCAAGTCAAAACATTGTCAAAAATTGCAACTTATTGTATACTGATTTACTCGGCAAAAATAAATTTAGTTAATTATTTATTGATAGGAAAAAACTTTTAAAATTTTGTTTTTCTTAATAGATACATCGAATGCCATTGTTAATCTCCACGTACTTTGAGGCACCATTATTGCCAACCTTGCGTCTAAGCATTTATCCATACAAAAATAGGTGATTTTAAAAGCTAAAGACATTTTTCAACCTTTAAATGTATTTTAATATGCATAAACAACACGCTTAACCGCATGTATTTATAAACTTTGCCACTGGATAATGCCTAATTGGCCGTAACAAATGAAGTTTCGGTACTTGAGGTGACGCACTAGTGAAACCATGCATTCCAGGGATAAGAATTAAACTTGGAAATCTGAAAGATAACTAAAGAATAAATATTAGAATCAATAATATAAAAAAAAAAAGTTTCCAAATCAAATCAAAATTATTGAAAATTGACCAAAGCTCAAATCCAAATCAAATAAATCCTTACACGTTAAACCCACGAGAAACCTGTTATCAAGAGGTGCAATTACCACTTGATAA